CTGTTGCTCAAAAATAGAAGAAAATAGGGAGAATATAAGTAGAAATAGATATCACCTGTGCCTCATGACAGAGAAAGCAGATGTCTATATACGACTTTGTGAATGTATATGGTAAACTGTGCTGCAGCAACCTGGGCAGTCGTGGGGAGTGAGGGAGGCTACAGGCTCTAAGGCTTAGTGGCTCCATAACGAAGCAGGTTTGCCAGAAACCTAGCACACATTCTACCTAGCACATTCGACCACAATTCAATACTTCAACCTGTTACTCAATTGCAGCTCAGAATGCGTCAAAAATTTTCCAAGCTAAAGATTTAATAATGGCTAGAGGAAGACAATATGCGGGAAAGCCTTGTGGGAAAGCAAATAAGAACACTATCTTCAGTTTCAGTGCAGGAAGACAGGGCATAGTAGAGGATTTTTTTCTGCTAGCAGCCTGAAAATCTACAATAGAGGCAGCTCTCCACACCCCGATGGGGTGTGACTATGAATTTGGCTATGACTTTGAATTTTGTCACTGTGATTTGAAACATTTGCAATTGAAAAGATGCTTTGAAATAGAGTCTTGTTGTGGATTTTGACAAAACCATATCTCCAAAGCATTGGCACTCTCAGCAAAAGGTCAATGTCTTTTTCTGGGTTTAGATCCATCACTGAGTGTCTATAAATTTTTCATGACAAAAATGAGGTGATTTATATCACCTAAATGGAGTGGAGTCATGAGAATGATGAAATCTCTCCCTAGCCTCAAGCCCGAGAGAATTAAATTTCTTTCTTTCCTTTTTTCCTTTTTTTTTTTTTTCCTTCCAGCACTTAAATCCGGAAGAAAATAAATATTTAAAGTTTTTCCTAATAAATGCTGTATTTTTCAAATAGCAACTTAAGTCACTTGAGGTTGCTCATTCTCATCTCCTGTGTATACTCTTTTCCCTTTTTATATCTTTAAATACACATATTGTACACATTGTTTTGTACGTTTGTCTTGTCATTAGACTAAACTCTGTTCCCTGTGAAATATTTTCCTATGATTTTCCTGCCCTTTCTAATTTGCTGTTCCTCCAGTGTCTGACTCCTAGCGGTTCTTTCCTCTGTCCCTATCTCCTCACTCCCTCCTCATCTACCACAGTTCTCAAGGGCTCCCGTAACTGAGCTGTAACTGAGGGTGCCTAGCACAGCAAGGTACTTCAGAAGCTGCATGAAGCAAACAAAATTACAAGCGCGAGGCACTAATCTCACAATGAAGCCTGAGGAATAAGGGAAACGGCCTGCTCTCATAGAACGCCTTGAAAAGTGGGTGTCATACAATAACAAGCAACACAGAACAATACAATAATAATACAATAACAATACAATAACAAGCCACACAGGAGGGTAAGTGGAAGAAGACTACAGGTCGACGTATACAAACACTTTTGCCCGAAGTATTTGAACACTGAGATCTCCCTACTTTGCAAAAACGCCCCTTTTCTCCTCCAGCATAACCCTCTCCGATATAGCTCGACTAGAGTTAAAATACCAGCTCTACTCTGCTCACAAGGCACTCTTGAAATAAAGGGACACCTAGTTTCAGAGAGCCTGCTAGTGTTAATCGTGGGACAGAAGGTTTTTTTCTGAGTGACAGGCCCATTAGTCTTTACTCCTACAAGAGTCCGATTCATCCTTCAGAACAAGGGAGGAGCCAAAGTATAGACCTCTTCCCCAGAACATGACCGATAGGAGCGGTCTGCGATCCGTGAAAACACACCCCTGGAGCAGGAACAAAGGAAAGCAGCACTGAACTGCAGCGTTGATGCATTTCTATTGGAACTATCCTCTCAGGCTAGGACATTATTAAAACCAGAAAAAAACATAACAAAATCAAGCAAGCATGATGAGGAAATAAAAAAAACCCCACCATCCACAGTGTAGCTGCAGTTAACTAGTCAATACAAAGTAACTTTGGAATAACCACACTCAGAATACCGAATCTATATACGTTTCCTTATATTTTTCTTTGTTTTGTGTTCATTCAACAGAACAAATTAGCAATGAAAATTATTAAAAAAAAGGATAACAGTTTATCAAAGCATTTCAAGAAGTTGGTTGTCTTCTCTGAAGTAGATGGTATGCAAATTGTTTTCATTAGCAGAACAGTACACAGTGGAAAATGAGGCTAGTTCTTTTCAAGAGGATCTGAGATTGGCATTTTTTCTGCTAAATAACCAAGCTGATCTGTTTTTTCAAATCACTCTGGAATAACAGAACAGGAATCAGAGATAATCAGCCCTCTGGGGCTAGACTTAATTTAAAAATAAAGATAAAAATCTATCACTAAAGCTCTTTGCTCTTCTGTTGGATATCTAACTACACTACACGAAGATGACTATCGAAGGACTACTGCAGCAATGAACCTTAAAAAAATGACACTCACCTGGGAAAAATGACTCATGGCTAAGATCATAAATACATTTTTCAACCTTCTGCCTTTCAGTGCTCTGAGACTGAGCTCAGGATGATAGGGAGCCTAAGAGAGCTGTAACTTTTCTTCCTGTCAATCCCAAAGGGTATGCTTGTCTTCTTTATCCACCTGGAAATTTTGTCCAGTCACAAGAAAAAAAAAAATGTGGACATTTCTTCAGGATTCCTAGATGCAAGCTAATGCAGTAAGATCATCAGCAGAATTTGGCCTGCCTGGTATCTGGAAGTCATAGACAAATAGGAACTCTGCATATACGGATCAACTGCACATACATTACTTTCTAGAGTTATAACACAAGCCTTATGTTTAGATAATGGCTATAACATAATGCTGCATATCACCTCATGACCCACGCTACATATCACCTCCAGGAGGTGACTAGGAGTCACCAAAATTCAACAGAAACTTTTGTTGGTAAGATATTTATTGTAATTTTAATTTATGTTGCACGAATTTTGCAGTCATAAACTCTCCTTGGTTTTCTGTCTTGACTGTATTCCATTCTAAGAGGAATATATCTCCTTCAGAAAAGTAGATATGAGCACACCAAAGTACATAGCTTATTAAATTTGCGAAACAAATTTCCACTAATACCTCTTGACCCTTCATGATATAGATTGCAAAACATTTTCTTGTAGGTCAGCACTCTAATATTTATAAAAGCATGTTTTTAGTGATAGTATCATTTTACCCTCACTTGAATTTTTCTTTCAAAAGATCTTAAAATTCATTTATAGGAGAAATAGCTTTTGGCAGCTGCTCTACAAAACTCAATCATAAAAAGTCACATAAAGAAATGAGTGCCTTGGTGCACTCTGAAAAGTATTTAAACTAAAGTAGAAGGAGACAGCCAGAAAGTTGCACATTTTCATAAAGATTTAAAAGTATCCGTATGTTGAACTGCTCCAAAAGAATTATCAAATCTTAAACTGAGACTTTACCTTGAATGTACACACGCCTATAGATTTTTCTGAGTGCTTGAAATAAAAGCTCAAAACCCAGAACACTAAGTATGTGCTGTGTTCGTTTCCCACTGAGGCCCATATAAACAACACCTTAATTTAGCCTCACAACACTGTTACTGTCTAGGTACCTGAACTGCACAAACGGAAGATTCCCACTGATATTTCTTTGAGCTGAGCTGTGTCCAATTTATAATTCATGAAGAGCACAAATATATGAGCAGTGCAATACCACAGATTTTGCCCCAGCAAGAATATAGGTTTCGATCCACATAAAATAAGCTTCTTGAACCCCTTCTGCTAGTAAAGGCCTTCACGATCCAGATCACTGCTCTGTTGCTTCACTGCGCCCACCACAGTGGAAGAACTGCACCATTAGGAGAGTTACAATACACTATTTATACTGCTGAAATATTAACTCAAAGCTTTGTTATAAACACCAGCCTAAAAATACGCTATAAGAAAAAGCTCTGAACTTCATTTGGAAGATCTCAGGTGAGAAAGGGCAAGGAAAGGAATTAAAAAAAAAAACAAATAAAACCCTAATTCTTCACAAGTTAGGTGCAACATCCAGATTCAACAGTTTTGCATTTCTTATTTGTCATCTTTATCCTCTTTTGTGCATTAGTAAACGCATTTTTGTTTGTTTGTTTGTTTTCTAAAGAGACTCTCTCAAACTCTGTATAACTGACTTGGGGAGATCCACTAGCACAACAAAATGTATTCTCTTCAGCTGGAGCCACTTGGAACCAAAACCTGTCAAAACACCAGAGCAGTGAATGCAGGATATGTCTACATTAAAAAACTCTTATTGGATACTATTCTGCAGAGACACAAAAGCTAACTTTGGATTAGGCGTCTTAGAAAATGGTAGTTTAATGGCACTTAGCCACATGAACTTGGAGCTTAGCAAGGGTCAGTGTGAGAAGTGTATCTTTATTCTAAATTCAGTAAAATTTAGGTATGTCTATTGTACTATGCAGCCACTAATGTGACTATGGGAACTGTACAACTTAAATAATGAATTAACAATCCCAAAAGAAGTCCTGTAATTATTAGGAAACACTAGCTGTGTTCTTGGAATGGCATTTTAAGACTTGATTTTGAACTCTTATGGTGGCATCACCGTAAAGGAAAACCTAGAAGACTAGGTTTTATGTTCATAGGTATCCACTGTACTGGTCAGTATTCTCAGTTGTTCTTAACCTCGCTCATATCATCATTGCTAATAAACATTCAATTTTCCCCAAACCTAAATAAATTTTATACGGCATACAAAGCTCAGAATGAGAGCACTTTATGTAAACAATGAACAGTTCAATGGTTGAATGAGCACAAAGGTTCCTAATAGAATTCAATGCTTTACGAAAGAGAAACACCTCTTCACACTGAAGCTTACATTCAGAAACTTTTCTGCAGAAGACTCCTAATTGATCCATCAACGACAAATATTTCTAAAGCGATGTGAGAAAACTACGTGCCTTTCAGGACAGGGAAGCACTGAAAGAGTTCTGTTAGCTGAAAATTCATGACATATTCTAGTTAATTTTATTTATTTTGTTTAAACTGAAATCTTCTCTTACCATCATGATTAGGGTTTCCCAAAGTCCATGGCTCATCTGAGTCAAAATGAGTGTCTCCCCCAATTCCCGGCCCAGGAAAATATGCATGGGCTAAAAATCCTCCTTCCCCATCAAAGGGAGAACTGTCTCCATGAAAACCTGATGCAAAAATGATTGTAATATCCACGTCCCTCTTGCCATTTTCTAATTCAATGTAAGGAACTTCTTCAAACGTCAATGGAGTTACATTCTGCCACACATCAAAGGCACGGCGAATGGCTTTACGAGTTTCAGCATCACCTACTTTTGGAGTGACGTTCTTTATGCTGAAAGAAACAGAGAAACATTAAATAGATTAAAACTGACAGAGCGGTCAATAACATTGCTCTCATCCATTTTTCCCTCATTATTAAAAGCACGATGCTTTTAATAAACAGCGCTTGTCAGTCATTATAGCCTTAAAGAAAAATATTTCTAAATAAGCAAGTGAGAAATTATTGTGCTATTCTCTGCAGTCTTTTATGCTAGAATTCATTATAGGTTAGCTAGCTGATTCTCAGCAGTACAAAAATCTTTATAACATTAAAAATATTTCAAAACCAAAAATTCTTCACAGTGGGAAAACCAGATTAATCAACCACTGACTGTTTACCTCTTCGACCACAATTAGAACCCACCATAGCAACAAAACTGCATGTCATTTCTGATCAAAAGCTGAAAATGTTTCCAGTTAAATGAAATTTTAACTTCTTAGTGAGTCCATTAACAGCAGCAGAGCTCCATACTGTGACCACAAGACCAGTACTTACAAAGCCTTGAAACCAGTTCTTGTTACATTTGCAACTAGATAAGACAATTCCTTATTAGAAACAAAGCCTTCCTATTTCTTTGTACACTAAAATGTCCTTTTATGATCTGACTACTTCTATTAATTTTGCATAAAACTGTAGAATTCATCAGAAATATCATTTGATAGAAGATGTAGAACAACTATGTGTATTCAAAAATGCATATTGAGACAGAACACTTCGGTCTCCACTATTTCTTCAATGACACATACAAGAGAAGGGCAGAGAAATGCCAGAATTCTGTTTGAGTTCAGAGTTGCAGTTGCTAGTAAATTATAGTGGAATCATTGAAAAAAAAAAAATTGATTCATACGGCCAGCCAAGACTCTATTGTTTTTCTGGGGGTTGGTATTGAAACTGCTTCATTTGGATGCACTTTTGTTGATTTGATATGTGCTTGACTGAATGTCCAGCACAAGTTTCTGAAGTAACATTGTCCTACAATACATGTAAGATTATGTAAGATTTAGGTAAGTTTACACAGCCTGATGGGTAAATGGAGAACAAAAATATTTTCATGAATAAACCTGAAGTGATTCATGTATTCGGAGTATTAAATGTGTTTGGTTAGATGGTACTGTGGGTTTATGTAAATTGAAATTTTATAGATTGGATTTTACATATATATTATTGTCTTCACAGGCTCATGCGAAAACCATGAAGTTATCTCTTTTGACATCCACTTAATTATTCTTGTATAGAGTCCAATAACATAGCTCTAACCAAAGCATAATTTCTTTTTCGCTAGCATGGACACCTCCAGGAAGGTATCAAGCCAGATTAGAAGAGAGTAGAGAATCCACCACTTCCCTCGATCTTTTTTTTCCAAAGATGACTTAACCCATCATTACATACTGGTGCCTATTTTCTTATTTGAGTTTGTCTGGCTTGTAACATTGGTTCTTGTTGTGTCTTTCTCCTTTAGATTCAGGAGGTTTTATAATGTTTCATTTTTTCTCCTCCAAAAATATTTATCTGCACTGCAGAGTAGTTAATTTTTTGTTCTCTCCTGAAGTTTAAAAGTTTGAACTCTTTAAATCTCTCACTATAGGGCAGTCTTTCAAGCCCATTCAATATTTTCTGTGATTCTTCTTGCACTCTCTCCAATTTTAACTGTCCTTTTAAAATTGAGTGTATTAGAATTACAAAGCATTGCTGTATTGATCTCACTGCCGGAGAAGAAAAGTCCTCTGATCTGCAGGCCTGTCCTTACCCCTGCATGATGCAAATATTATGCGATTCAGATTGCTTTGTATGATGCCCTTCCCCCAAAAATATGTACTCATCTGTAAACTTACCATCAATGTTGTGCTGATTTTCAGGTGATTGAAAAAAATATCGGATGCACTGGGCCAAGTATTAACCTCCGCAGAACTCCATGCTAAAAACCCCCTCCTTTGTGAATTACTTTTCAAAGATATCTCAGTTAGTGAGGTCTTAAGCTACCAACCCTGTGCCTCTTGAGAATGCATAGTATTCAAAAAACAGAATGTCATGTGGCACTGAGTCAAAACACTTCACAAAAACACATACACACTGCCTGTACAAGACACTTCACAGTGCTTAACTTGCTGCTGTGCTAAGATCACCACTTAGAACGCTGACAAGCTTCGTCTAATCTTGCAGTGTGCTCTGTAAAGGGTCAGAGTTCTCTTAGTTGCTACAACATAAAATGAATATAGCAAGTGAATCAATAGGCTTGTATGGAAAATAGGACATGTCTAACAAAACTGATTTCATTTTTGAAGTCGTTAAAAGCTCAGCTGACAGAATCACAGGATAGTTGAGGTTGGAAGGGACCTCTGGAGATCATCTAGTCCAACCTCCCTGCTCAAGCAGAGTCACCTGGAGCACATTACCCAGGATTGTGTCCAGAGGACAAGTACAATTTACTATTGTGTTTATTGTCTTGCATTTAGGAATCTTACTAAAGGATCAAAACCACACTTTGCTTGGGGTTATGTAAACATAATAAAAAAATGTTCTCTTGCTCTTCTACCTGATGAGAGGAAAGAGAGGGATAAAAATAGATCGCAGATTTGTATCTGATGGAAAATAATTACTTGGTCTAAGAAGATTTGACTCACATTTTTAATTTTATCACTTTACATTTTCACACTTGTTCAGTGCTCAGAGTTAAGTTTCTGTGATAGATGAAAAAAGAAAAATTAAGCCACTGTGGTAGTTTCACATATGTTAACTAGGGGTGATTACCTAGGTTGGGGGACCCATTCCAGGGGCTTCAGCTATTGAGTTACTGCTGAAATAACATTCCAAGTCCCAAGATTCAAAGTAAAGAAAAAGGATTTTTCAAAGCACACACTCTATATTACAATAAGATACATTTTTGACTTCCAAAAGAAGCCTTCTGGAGAACTTGAAGTTATACTGAAAAATGTTGCTTCTAAAAGAAATGAAATAAATCACTAGCTATTCCAATATAAGAGTATTTCTAGAAAGAATTTTTAATAACTATGGTCACCTGGGAGACTGGTAAATGACTGTCCATTTTAATACGTCTTTAATACAAGCCATGATCAATTCTAAAAGGACAAATTCTAATCTTATTTTTAACACTAGTTTTGAAGTTGTGCAGCTGAGAACCTGGCTTAAAATATTTCACCAATGTAGACATGTAAAACCCAAATAATTTTACATTTCTTTCACAGTGTTAAGCATATAACCTCCAAAGGGGAAGTACAGTAACAAGATCAATGCATGCAATGTATTAACTCAATCAGAGATTCTGTCTTAAAAGTCTTCAGTTTGGACATACCACCACAGTAGCAAATTAAATTCTTATGTACTCCCTTTTCCTGCTATATATTGCTCTACATCTTAAAGTCATCACTCACCTGAAATAGTGGTAACTGTCACCAGTACCATAAAAGGAGGAAATAAAAATCTTATACTCAGTGTGTCCAGATAATAAGGCTCAAGTAAAAATCTGTGGAGGACATGCCAGCTGAGACTCTCTCCTATTACAAGGCAGCAGCATAGCAAGACAAAGGCCATCATAATATGAAAACAATATCTGCTAAGTACTATTTTCTTAACCTCTATGTCCAATGATCATTCAACAGAGAAAATATCCAACAGAGAGAAACCTTGAATGCTGACCTTGAGCAGATGTGCAACGGGAACCTTGTAAAGGAGCTGAAAAGTATACTCATCATGCTTTGCAATGTAAAAGTTTTTTAGTGAACAGAAGATGATCTGTAAGACGAAATATCTAATTTTTTACAAACAAGTAAACTGAGCACCACTTGTGTGAATTCTTAAGCTCCTATTCTTGGATGACCATAGCGGTATGCCCTCTGAATACAATATTTTGTGATTATTGTTGTTGTTGTTGGATGCAATGCTGTTTTCAACCTGGTAGCTGACTTAGGCATCAGAGCTTTTAAATCCATACCTTTTACACAAGAAAGAATAATATTGCAACAGTGATACGCACTTTTCACACTGATGTACTATTTCTACAGACGCTTGAAAGATTTTCTTTTGGAGACTGAGTCTGAAATTCTGAGTCCTGTTATTTTAGAAAAGCTCTAGGTTTTCCTTCTCCCTCTCCCTCTTCCCCCAAAATATCCTCCAAAAAAATTCTCCACTTTAAATGACAGTCGTTTAACTGCAACAGCTTTAGGAACCTTGTAAGGCTTTCAGGATATACCTCACTTGGCTGTTTGGAATCAATCATCTGAAATTCAAATACAGTATATAAAACAATATATATTTGCCTTTATATTTCAGCATTTCCTTTTTCTTCCTGAACTGTCACTAGAACAGCTCCTTATAATATTTCTCACAGAAACTGATATCATCCTTTATATAAAGTTAACTTTTCTGACCCACCCTAGACCCAAGAGGTAGGTCAGCAAAGGCTGGACAAAGCCTGAAATGTATTTGTATAGAGCTTAGCACTGATCTCACACCTTAGTAGTAATGGTCTTCAAAAGAATGGTAATAACTCAGTAATAACTTTTTCATGGTCTGTAGGTTTTGATACTTCTACTCTCTACTGCAAATACTGCTGTAAAATAGGTCCTATGCTCACTTGTGCATTAAATTCAGGGTACTGGATTAATAATGTCTTACTACACTGTTGTGCTGATTAAACTGGACGACAAGGGGTGCTCTCAGAACGCTTATGCAATTATAACAATGCAAGAGGGCATTTTTATTTTTCTAGAACATAAATATATCAATTTAATATAAATGAGGAGAATATTTCTATGATGCCATTTCCCTCAACCATTCCAAGATTTTCTTGGAGGAAAGTCACAAATGGGAATCCCTCTTCTAAATAAAGAAAAGATAGAAAATAAAAGAGTAGCAAATTAGCAAATTCAACTGAATGGGTAAAAAGTCAGCAATCTTGCTGAAGTAATCAGCCAATTCTAGATCTATACTTGACATGAAATGATTAAGATATAATGAAATTAAATACAGCTTAAATCTGAATACCATGTTAAAAT